GCCAAGGCTAGCGACCCGCGCCACAGCGTGCAACAGGCCGCTTTATTGAAACTNTACGGGAAAACATGTCTCACACGACACATGTGATCTTCAACCATCTCCCAGCACTTCGGTTGCTCCTGTGCGGGCTGATGGCGCTTCCTCCAAGCACGCAGCACCTTCACATCGCTGCTGTCAGGGCAATTCATGATACTTCCCACGACATTCACCTGCACCCCTCCCCCACCCCCCAGTCGTTTGTGGCTGCTTAGGCTTGAGGACGCCACCACAATTATGCCCCATGCCATGAAGAGCCTGTCAACTCCCTCGCTGGCTGCCTTCCTTCCTCCGCCACCTCGTACGCAGCGCACCCCTTCATCCCACGCCGCCACAAAGCCCCCTCGACTGTGAGGGTATTGTCAATACCCCGATTCTAAAACGCTGTTTTTATGGAGCTGCCAAACACAAACACAAACACAAACACCGAGACTCCAAAGCAGTACACAATCACATGGAGGTTTGTGGCGTCGTAGTGCAGCGGCTGATAGAGGAGGTAGGAGACAGCCGCCATCGACGTTCCTACCCCGGGGGGATAGTGCAGGAGATGCAGCCTCACTTTGAACCCTTTTGGATCTTCAGTGCTGAACAATCCGTTTATATTGCCTTCGACAATCCACCACATCCGCTTCACCCCATCGGTAACGTCGCAGTCACCCACCCTCATTCCTCTCCAACCTCAAGTACGGCCAATCCTTCCCGGAGGAGATCACCGTCAGTCAGAGGCGTAAGGGAAGAGCCTTTTCTTCATTGCCATGCTTTTCGAGTGTTCTATCATCCATCGTGCACTCCCACAACTCTTGTGGTGGTTAGACATCTTTATCACCTCCATTCGCACAACGACATGCCTACATTTCGCCCTCCGGAAATCCTAAGACGTGACCCCATCTCGCGTTGAGCACGGAGTCGTAGAGTCCCTCCGCCAACGGGAAGCTGAGCTCTTCCGCGCACCTCACAGGCATTCTTCCAATTCGCAGTTGTTGGCTTGAGCTGTAGCAGAACACGAACCACCAGTCTAAAAAGAGAACGAAAGAAAAGGACCAAATAGCCACAGGCATCTGGCTCCGTCGCCTGTCGGCCGGTAACGTTGGCGCCATCACCGGGGATGCCGCTCGGTGCCATCAGAACTTTTGTGTCAGGGAGCATCCAACGTACACCGCCAATGCCAAGCAGGCGGGCACCGCCGTCCATAACGGGCAGCTGCGACCGCAGCGTCCCACACGCCCAACGCGGTCGGGCACTGCAGCGACGGAAAGGCGCCCAAAAAGCGCTCATTTTTACCCCTTACTTATAATCAATGGGTCTGCCTGTTTGCCTCCTCACCAACACTTAAAGCGAGGTCTTTACTGCTACAAAGGCGGGGGAAGAGGAAGAAAGACACGAGCCCAAAAAAAAACCTTGCTTCAGGGCAGAATTCTCCACCTCGCACCACTGCAGCAGCAGAAGACACAGCGCTTGCTGTCACTTCTTCGATTCCTCTCCCGCCGGCTCATTTCCCCACAGAAAGGCGCCACCCACAGTGAATCTTGTGGCCAAGACTTGGTGACAGCAGGTCTCTGTGCATCACGCAGAACGTCCCACCCACTCGCTTTCCACGCACAAATATTTCCACCTTGGCTGCGCCATAGTTTGCAGCGGTGTAGTTGTGTTCAACTGCGACAGCAGCCCGTTTTCGTCCGTTCCGCCGCTCGTATGGCAGGTGGGGTGCCTAGAAAGAAACGCGGAGCGGTGGAGCCGCAACGCAAAGGTGAGACGACGCACCCGTCACACTCCGCGCCGTGCACCGCCCCCCTCGTGTGTCCATGACTTGTTGGAAGACCAGCCGACACGAATGTTGCCCATCCATTCGTAGAGCCTCATTTCACTGGATACCGCGCCCATTATGATCGCACAGCCAATGTGGGCCCCGCTAAGGCACGGGGACTGATGCAGAGCACTTGGAGGCTGCATCTATTTATTCCATGAAGTAGCAAGCTGTTGGGGTCTCCGCAGGCCCACTGGTCTCTTTCCCCCGGAACGGAAACTCGCGCGCAAGCCTCTGGCAGAAAAGTCACTGGTAAAGACGAAGGTTTCAACCCAAATAACGTTTCAGCCCCGTCATGAACTGCACCAAAACACCAAGAGACGTCATTCAGGGGAATCCGACCCCATGTATACCCCACATGTTTATTCCTATCGTTTCTTCTTCCACCGCAGAGAAAGGGGCCCACACACCCCAATGGCAGGCTTTCCAAAGAAGCCAACCCCGCTGCTGCTGTGCGTTGCGCCCATAATTCTTCAGCCGCAGAGTCAGAGGTGGGGAGAGGCCAAGGTGCAGCTTCCTTTGCATTTGCCACCGCTTACCTCTGCGCCACCTCTGACTGCATCGCCCGAAACTGGGCCGGAGCGCCGTGCACAATTCTACATTCTCAGTCAGTCACTCGGGCCAGTGCGCATGTGTCTCGTTCACAAGTGCGAGTCCTTTCTCTTTTTCTCTTACGGGGGCCGCTCATTCCGTGTGGACTGTCATTCGTACCACGGCATGTGCATTTACCGGAGTCCTCACAGCAGAGCATTGCAAGCCAAACCAAAGGGAGCCACAGAGAGCGAGAGAAAGAGAGAAAAAAAACGGTTGAAATGTGTGTTACCCAGCTCTGCTTTCGCACTGCCCTTCCCGTCCATGTTTGCCGCCCCCTCACCCCCGCAATGCCCCTCGAACGCGGTCCGTGTGCAGAGCAGAAATCACACAAAAACGTTGTTGCCTTTTAAGCGGTCAACGAGAGCTCTGCGGCAGAGGCTCCGTTCAACCTCGAACCGCACGCAACATGCACAACGTGCGTCTGACTTGCCTTCTTTTTCCCCGAGAGACATTTCCGTAATTGCGGTAGAGCAAGAAACAGAAGCAGGTAGCTGGGCAAAGCAACACACACACACACCACGTAGGAGCGAGTCGACAGAAATTACGCAAGTCCTACCTGTAAACCAGGCAGTCCGTGTGGCCCCCGCGACGTCTCAAGACACGCAGTATAAATATATATACATGCCTGCATGCATAGGTGTGTATATTACCAATGTGTAGGAATAAAACAGGAATGATGAGTGTGCCGTATACAACACGTGAGGAAAAACTAAGAAGAAAAAAAAAACAAAGAGAGAGAGAGAAAGAGAGATAGAAAGAAGAAGGTGTTGGAAGCAAACAACAGAGACAAAAAAAAAAATTCCGAGCGTTCGTGTGCCTCAACACAAACAGCGCTTCCAGAACCCACCATATTTCTCTGGGAGACGTGAAAAGTTGTCGGCGTCTCTCAGATGCCAGAGGCTTACGACATTTATGGAACTCCCTACGGCTGAGGTGCGTGACACGGACACGACTGTCACGACGCCTGAAAGGCCCACATCGCCGGACTCCTGCGTCTCCTTCTCCCAAAGCAAATAGGCAGCCCTGCCAAAAAAAAAAAACGAGATGCGACGACAGTTTGCGCAGAAGCGCGAAACCCTCTTTGAGTCTTTTTCTCCCCCCACCCCCCTATGAATCGAGGCTGCCTTTCTGAGGTGGATCAACGCAGTCCGTGCTGCACCCCCAGGGAGATCCCTCGCGAAGGTATCACTGGGGCAAATTCCGTAGGGGGTGGGGGAGGAAGGCGTTGCCCGTCCCTCTTGCTCCTGCCTCCGACCCCTTTCCGCAACACCTTGCTGGTGATGGTAACGGCGACGGCTGTCGAGCTGGGCAGCCTCTGCCTTGTTCGCCCCTTCCCTTTTTTCGTTCCTCCTCGCCAACAGCTTCAGCTGGCTTTTCGACAGGACGGCGTGGGCGCCGACCACCTCGGGGTACTTCGGTGTGTCGTGCGGGAGAGCGTTCGGCAGCCACGAGTTTGGCCGCGCGAAAGACGCAGGTAGGACGTTGAGCACCGCGCGTCACTGCTGAGCAGGCACATAAATTGCCACCGCCACTTCGGTGAGGGCAACCCCGACCAAAACAGCATTTGTAGTCATCGCCAGTATGCAAACAGCACACCGTTACACTCACCCCCTTCGCTGGGTTTCCTCTACAATGAGCAATCAATAGAAAAAGCAAAGAAAAAACAAACAAACAACAACAGAAAAAAATAAGGCAGACGCGGCTGCAGCTACAGATCGTGGCGGTGCAGCCCACGACAAGTGTGAGCCCCAAGCACAATGAAGAATAATAATAGTGTCTTTCAGTGAGTCTATCACTTATTGGTTCTTCTCTCACGCACGCACCCACTCAAACATTCTCCCCACAGTGGGTTGCACCTTCAAGGCACAGGCAGTGGGGACAGATGGAAAAGTGGATGCGGAAGCATTCCCCCAACAAGCACGATGCTCTGGCAGCTATCGCGGCCTCAACTTCTGCTGTGAGCGCTTTACTTGCGCCGTTAGCCGCCTCAACACACACTCGCGTCTAGCCTTGAGGGCCTTCAGCTCGCTCAGTCGTCTGATAACATCTTTGCGGCGCTGACTGAGATCCCGCTTGCGGGTCTGCAGGTTCCGCAGCACCTCCGTCACGCATTGTAGCTCTCGCTCCACGTTGCGACGGCCCTCCGTCACCCCTTCGCGCAGCTGCAGCAGCTCCACTTCAGCGTTGGGCCGTTCGGTGGGCCCTGAAAGGCAGCGCTGCTTCCCCTCTTCCCTGTCCCAGCCCGCCCGCATGGCGGAAAGCATTTTTCGCAGTGTTTTTGTTTCGTGCTCGAGGAAGACGATGCGCCCGTCGAGGAGGTTCCCCCGCTCCCGTAACCGCTCCCGATCCAACGACGCCTGCAGAATGCAGCGAGCATGTATGGTCTCAGGAGAAGAGGTGGTAGATGTCTCGTGCTGCAGTTCCTCCTCGCCCACCCTACGTGCCGCAACGAGCCTTTGGTTCAGCATCTCCACCAGGCTTTGGTAGCGGCGCTTCAGCTGGCGAACTTGTTCCTGGCGTCCCCGAAGTTCAGCCTGCTTCTCCGCCTGTGCCTTTTGGTCGAGATGTAACTCCACCACGGTGTTCTTGATGTCCGCAAGCACAGTTTCCTCCAGCACCAGCGCCTGTCCACGAAGAACATCTTCAAAACTCGCAGACTCACGCATCAGTTCCACGTTCGATTCCGCGGCACGGCGCACGGATCGCAACTCCAGCGTCGCTCTCGAGTGGTGCAGAAGGGCTGTTTCCTTCTCCCTCACCAGCTGCGCAGCATCCGACACCAGTCCGTGAAGCTCCGCTCTTCGTTGCTGCAGTGCTTCCGTGAGCGCCGAAAGTTTCGCCTTTGTGTCGTCTGCAAGCCTGCTATGGGCGTTTAGGGCACACTGCAGCGGTGTGAGGTCGCGCCGCAGCGTAAGTCCGCGCTGCGTCACGCGATGAAGCTCACTCCGCAGCTCCTGCACAACACCATTCAGGACGGTTTGTTCGTGCTGCCGCTGCTCCCGCATCAGCTCGCGTGTCTGCCCCAAACTCTGCTGCATGGACGACAACTGCGCCTCCAACTCGCCGAGGTGGGTTTGGCATCTTTCATGGGACTGCAGCTGTGCCGCATAGTCACGATCCGCGGCGGTCAGTGCCGCCTTCGCCTTCATCACGCTGTCACTTACCCCCTCGGCGAGGCGACCCTCCTGCTGGAGTTCGGAGAAACACGCCAACGTCGCCGCCTGAATTCGTTCAACTTGACCCTCGAGCTGCCGGAGGCCCCGCTGCAGTGAGGCGCGGGTATTCTCCAGGGAACGTGTCGACTGAACACCTTCACCCTCGCGTACCTCCATCGCAAGGCCCGCAAGCTCCCGCAAGCGCAACTGCAGCTGCTGCAGCTGCGCATGTCGCGCGTCACGAAGCGCAAGGGTGTTGCGGTGCGAAAGTGTCGCATGCCGCTTCACGTCTCGCTGAGCCGCGACCTGCCGCTGCATCGCCGCTACTGCGTTCTCCTGTTCTTGTGCCGCGCTCGTGAAGGCGTGTAGACGCGCGAGGAGAGCGTGCTGGTTTCTTCGATGGCCCTCAACGCTTCCAGAGAGCGCCTGCCGCCGCGCCAGCTGCTCCTGGTGCTGCCTCTGCAGCTGCTGAAGAAATGCCCGATACGCCTCTACAGCTCTTGCCCCGCTGGCGTACGTCTCTGCGTTTGCGGCCGTTTGCGTCTCACACGCCTCAATCGCCTCCTGCACATGCGACACCGCCAGCCACGACTCCGTTCTCTCGCGCTTCCCCCGAAGAATATTCAGTTGCAGGGCCTCCAGCTCACGCTGCACTTGCACAAACTCCTCCACCTCCCGTTGCAGCGCGACCTGTGACACACGAAGAGCGTTGTGGGCGCCCGCCAGCGACGCTCGCACCTTCTCCAGGCGATGGCGCCGCCGTTCCACGTCCCGCTGCACCTCGTGCGCGTTCTTGTAAGACACGGTGGCGGCGGAGATCTCCAGTGCCGCCTGCTCCAGCGCCGCCGATGCCTCCTGCTCCTTCCCAAGGGCCTCCGCTTTGGTCCGCACCGCGTGTGAAAGGCCTTGCAGCAACGCATGCACCTCCTTATGGCGGCTCTGTAACGCGTGGAGCTCCGCACGACTGTGGGACGCCTCCCGCCGCAGCGCCTGCAGCGCGTCGTCGTCCCTCTGCAAGCGCTGCTGGTCCTTCGTGGCAGCCATCGTGCTTGAGTGAACGTGTTGCTGCACCTGCGTCAGGTTCCGCCGCAGCAGGGTGACGGCCTCCCGCTCCAACTCCACCTCCACGGCCTTGCTCTGCAGGTCATCCGTGATACGGTCGATGCGCTGCTGAAGCTTTCGATTTTTTTCGTTCAACACCCACGTCGGCCACATGAGCGGCGAAAGCAACACGGCCCCGCTACACGCAGCAACGTGAGACGGCGATGTCGTTGACACGCGGTCAACCCAAATATTAAAAGAAAAAGCAAAGCAAAACGAAAAACAAAAAAAAAACATAAAAAATGCGCAGGAGAAGGAAACCAGATACGTCCACATGTGGCCCACAGGAACGGCCAAAGATGTATAGAAAAAGAAAGCAGCAGGTGCAGCAGTTCAGGTTCTTGTAGGCAAGCGATCGAGCGTGTGTGACGGCACAAGGACGGAATTGAGGGAACGAAGTAGGCAGCAAGAGGTTCACCCCAGCAGCAGCTCCTTTGGCCGTGCGGCATCTCGTGCCTGCCAACGCGCGTACGCCACGCGATCGTTGGGGTGGTCCGTGTCGTCCGGCATCCCCTCCACCGCCTCAGCGTCGACGGAGACGTCTGTTGGTCCCACTGGGCTGCCGCGGGACCGCTTCAGCGGCACCGACCGCGCGGAGGCGAGGCTTACGGGCGCACCTTTTTGCTCCACGTACGCGATGGAGAAGTCATCGTCATCGTCCGCATCGCCGGCAGGCGGCTGGGGGAGACGCGGCCCTTCCGCCGTTGCGGATAGCACGGCGACGGCAGCATTACAAAGCTCCTCCTCCTCCTCGTCCAGGCGCACGCTTGAGTGCACGACGACCGTTTTTCCACTCGACATATGCCACGGTCCCCGCCCCCGCAGGAACAAAAACGTGGCAGAGAGACTCACACACCCGCGGCGGCGAGAACCACAAGGCAGCGTCCAGGGACGTGTGGAGAAAAACGGTAAGAAAACGAAAAAAAGAATTTAAAAAATGTGGCCGTATCAACAGCTGAGAGGCAAAACATCACACACATACACACACGCACGCACGCATCTCCTGCTACTACCACTAACACGCGACAAAAAATCTGCTCCACGGAAGCAGTGCAATGTCGTCTATTCGGTTGCGGCTGCGACTGCTGCTGCTGATGATGATGGCAATGGCTAAAATGATTGCGCAAAAACAAAAACATGTATTAGATGTATTTCATTTAGTTGTGGCGCTAAAGCCAATGCCTAAACGCACGTGCCGTTTCTCCTACGCTCCGGCTTACGCCACGGCATTCGAAAGTCAACAGCAGTCAAATGCCCCCACCCCCGTGTCCAAAAACAAAACAACATAAACAAACGTACAAAAAGCCACAACAACAACAAAAAAAAAAAGTAAATCGTAAACACTCCGCTACATAAAATCATAAAACGGTACTCCCCCTTCACCACTGCAGGCGTTCCTTCTTGTGAAAGAAGCCACCTGTGGGCCCGTCCTCCGGTAGAGTTGCGAGATAAACGAGGGTCTCGGCCCCCTCCTCTGGTTCCATCGGCGCCTCTTTGGAGTTTCGCGACATATCCGTTCGCACGTATCCCGGGTACGCCACATTCACCTTCGCCGCCTTGGCGCTCCCCTCCTCCTGCGTCTGCAGCCAGTAGGCGAGGTTGTGCGTGTACATGTTGAGGGCTGCCTTAGTGCACTTGTAGCTCGTGAAGAGCGGACTGCAGTACTTGTTGTACGGGTGCTCCACCGTCCCGTGGGACGCGAGAGAAGTGCTGACGCTGACGATGCGGGGGGCGTCTGAGGTGCGCAGCATCAGCGGCAGGAAGGCGTTGGTGACAGTCACAGCGGCAAAGAAGTTCACCTCAAACTCCTCCCGCATCTGCTGGAGATTCAGCGGAACGATGTGATTGTTGTAGTCCATTATCGCGGCGTTGTTGATAAGGGCGTCCAGCCGCTTGTACGTCGCCTCCACCTCGCGGGCCGCGGCAGCGACGGAGGCCTCGTCAGTGATGGCGAAACACAGTAGGTGCACGTCGAGGCCCTCAGCCTGAAGCTTCGCCGCCGCCGCCTCGCCGCGCTGCGCGTCACGGGCAGCGAGCAGCACGCAGTAGCCAAGCTGTGCCAAGCTCCGTACCGCCGCGTAGCCGATTCCGCGGTTTCCACCCGTCACCAGCGCCACTCGCTTGGGAGACATTAAGACGCAGTGCCAGAATGCTTGTCGGGGATAAACTACACCTCACACACCCACACAGACGCCGTGCAGGTGTGTGTGTGTGCAGGAAAAGAAAGAAAAAAAAAAAGGAGGAGGAGGAGGGGTGAGGTGAGGGAAAAGCGGTGGCAAAGACGTATCAGCTGCAACAGTGACGGAGAAGTACTACTGCGACGCCGCCTGCCTGCGCCACTGCGTATCATTTGCACACAACGGCAGAAAAAACAACATGAACGGAGCCACAGCTCCACGCCCCGGCAAAACCAAACACACACAAAAATAATAATAATAATAATAAAAAGGTCGCCTTCTCGTCGCACCGCAATGCAGCAAAACAAAAAAAAAAAAAAA